AAAGAAAAGGCTTTTAAAAAACATGGCACCAGGAAGTACAGGCAAGCAAGCTCCCGGTCTCCAAAGGTACTTCTAACATGAGCAGAAAGGGGTGCAAAGGTGCATTGCATGAAGTTAGCACTGTCCTCACTATAAGCTTTGTTTGATGTGACAGTGGAACTGAGAGACAGACAGACAACATCCTTCATATCTCAGTGACAGATGCCAGACTGGGGAGAAACAGCAGCTAGCAGATCTGTCCTGGGGGTTGGATCGCCAGGAACCCTTCAGCAGCCATCCCGTTTTTCACAGGCTGAAAGACACGGATGGACAAAACTTGGAAGAATTCAAAGTTACCAAAAGCTCTGTCCAGGTAACGATTCTGGTACAGCTCAGCTCTGCTACGGCTGCACTGCCAACCACTTCCGTTCACCCAGTACCCGCTCTACCACTCCACTGTCAGCACACACAGCTGGCAAGGAGTCGAAAGCTGCATTTTGAGTTTGTTTGGTGGACAAAAGCCTCAGGGGGGAGTAATTCCTGTATTTCACTGGCACTGACATGGGCAAACCAGTCACTCATGTTACTGGAAATCAACATGTCCAGAAGAATGGATATAGACAACAAGGAAGAAATCCCATACGGGAATTTAAAACTCAGTAAAAATGAGTACAAATAAAAATTTAAGATCTTCAGGGGCCAATATGATGGCTCAATAGGCTAATCCTCCATTTGCAAATGCTGACATCCCATATGGGCACTGGTTCATGTCCCAGCTGCTTTATTTCCCATTCACCTTGCTGCTTGTGACCTGGGAAAGCAATGGAGGACAGTCCAAAACCTTGGGACCCTGTACCCATGTGGAAGACCCAGAAGAAGCTCCTAGCTTTGTATTGGCTCAGCTCTGGCCATTGTGGCCATCTGGGGTGTGAACTAGCAGATAGAAAATCTTTGTCTCTCCTCTCCATGATCTGCCTTTCCAATAAAAATCAATAAATCTTGAAGAACATTTTTTTGTAGTGCTGTGGCCCAGTGGGTTGCGCCAACACTTGCAACTCCAGCATTCTGTATCAAATGCTGATTTGAATCTTAGATCCTCCATGCCTGATCTGGATTCCTGTTGATGCACCTGAGAATCAGTGGATGATGGCTCAAGGACTGGAGTCCCTGCATCCCACAGGGGAGATCCCCACAAAGCTCTTGGCTTCAGCCTGACCCAAAACCCTGACTGATGCAGTCATCTGGAGAGTGAGCCAGTGAATGCAAGATGGATCTCTCTATCTCTCTCTACCACACACACACATACACACACACACACACACACACACTTTGCCTTTCAATTAAATAAATATATGAATCTTAAAAAGAAAGCTCATCACAATAGGGACCCAGAAAACAGCCAACTCCTGATCACATCACCAAGGGAAATAAAGGCAGTGGAATTAATCCAAACATCACGGTTGTACGGGTTTGGGGATTTCTCAACAGCACCATGAGCAAACAATAAAGCCTTTCTCTGGCAGAGTCTGCAGGCTCTGCTTTGAATCCTACCTGGTACAGACATTTTACTACTTCTTCTACTTGTCCAAATTCGAGGGGGAACTTCTAGGGACTACCTGAGGTAATGATGCAAGAATTCCTGACAAAAACCAGGCCCCAGAATTGATTTCAATTCAAATTCCTTGCCAAGTCCTGGCCCTGAAGCAGCAGAGGTCCAGAGCGCCAATGAGTAGGTAGCAGCCAAGCTGGAGCCGTACCTCCCTCAACCGGCTCCGGCACACGATGCAGAAGCTGTCATTTCCCATGAGCAACTCACAGGGCTGCGGCTCGGGCCAAGGTCACACTCATCACAGCCACCTGCCGACCCAGGAGAGGACACTGCGGACCTCACCCTCTCCTTGGAAAGAAGCTGCCAACTGTGCCATCAAGCAGGTGCTCCCCAAAACAGTCATACCTCCTCCTCTCTCTTTGAACAGGCTGCAATTTCATTCCCTTTGGACTTGTCCCTCAGTAGGCGTTCAGCTGCTCAAATTTCTTACTTTCCTTCCCCACCCCGAAGAAGTCAGTGTTGGGAAACAACACTTGAAAAACTGGAATGCAGCACCGTGTTAGAAGAGGTTACGTGATGACTTCTGATCCACAGAAATGCACCACGTCGGAAGGGCATGTGTGTATACGCACACACACACACACACACACACACTCTCTCTCTCTTTCTTTGTAATCCAGAAATCAAACCTTTCATATAAAAAGATGAGAATGTAGCTTAAGAGCTGAAAAGTTCATACACAGCTTCCCAAGAGGCAGGACTGATGCCAGGGCTCAAGTTGTAAAAGTGGCTTTCTCTGCGCCGCTTTCTTTTTATGATGTACTGCTCACCACCAGCTGGCCAATCTGGCTTCTTCAAGGAACCTGGGAAGCTGTCTGCAAAGGAGCTCCATCTGCTGCATCAATAAACGGTTCCTCTATCTCTCGTTTGTTCTGCCTCGCCTGCACTAAATAGAGTGTAAAGAGGTAAGCAGAAAACGGCATTTTTGGACAAGATGGCGTCAAATTTGCTTCATTTACTCATTAAAGTGACCCACAGAATATAAAGATGGCAGCCAGGGGGGCTTTAGAGGGTTGTGCCAATAATGGAAACAACAGAAGGTGTCGTCAACATGCCAGAAACACCAAGGAACTTCAGCAGATGGGCCTAGGGTGAAGCAAAGTCCCATAAGCCAAATGGCACCTTCCCCTGCTAAGAACTGGGGGGGCATCCTGAGAAGCAGGGCTCTGGCACCTCCACGCCAAAGGGTGGGATCTGGATGGTGGGTTGGGCTGATGCAAAGTCCACAAGTTGCACACAGGCAGCACCTGAAGCCGTCCATCACAGTCGGTCACAGCTGGGGCACCAGACTGAAGAGAAAGATACACCAGCCTAGCAGATTTCTAGATTCAGATGGAAGTCAATGTCCCAGAATCACAAGTTTCCCCTCCCCTGCTGGGCTGACTGTCTCGGGAAATGCAACACACACACACACACACACGCCCACAGGGCATGCACAAATAAGAACACAGCACTCCAAACTCTTAGGAGAGGTTTACGCTCAGGAAGCTAACAAACATGCTGAAGATCATCTCCACTTGTGTTCAAGAAAATTGCTGGTCATGAGCCCAGCACAATAGCCTGGCTGCTAAATACCTTACTTTGAATGCGCCAGGATTCCATATGGGCACTGGTTCTAATCCCAGGAACCCCACTTCCCATCCAGCTCCCTGCTTGTGGCCTGGAAAAGCAGTTGAAGACGGCCCAAAGCCTTGGGACCCTGCACTCACATGGGAGACCTGGGAAGCTCCTGGCTTCTCGCTTCAGATTGGCTCAGCTCCAGCTGTTGCGGCTACTTGGGGATTGGGGAGTGAATCAAAGGACGAAAGATCTTCCTCTTTGTCTCTCCTCTTCTCTGATTTTCCAATAAAAAGTAAATAAATCTTAAAAAAAAAAAACAGGCACAAATACCTTCACTTTCCCAAGTTCCCTAAATTTAGAGGAATGACTCCAAATAAATTAAAAGAATGTTTCTCCCCTTTCATGCCCATCTCTTTAATTTGATCATTAACTGTATCAGTGATACACTAAAAGAAGAGAACAAGCAAAGGTTGAAAAGTTTTCTTAAATGGATGAAAAACAAGGAAATAGACAAGACACTGGGGAGCTGTCACCATTAGTATCAGGCAGTGGGAGGAGACTTCCATTCTGGGTATTTAAAGTAATTACAAAGCAGATACCACTAAAAATAGATCAGTGATGACACGAGAATAATGCTGCAAGTGAACAGAAACAGGACGTTGTGTGTTAGAACAGAAAAAGCACTTGGTTGTCACAAGCCGTCTACATCAGAGGAAAGGATTGTTTAAACATTATGAAAACAGAAGTAATTCATGATTTGGTCAAGGTAGAAATTTCTAGGCTTCATACAAGTATGCTAAAATAATTGTAGCTAAATAAAAAAAGTAAACCATAAAAAGATCAAGATGGAAATACAAAAGTATTTACAGATCCCAAAGGCAGTCTTTCCAAATATTTGGTTGCTGATAATGCCTCACTAAAAAAAAAAAAAAACACAAGGCAAATGACAGATTGAGAACAAATATTTGTAACAAGATAAAACTTACTAAGAGGAGGACAAACATATCCTACCTATGAGGGCAAAAGTTATGATTAGATCGCTTGCACAAACATCCTTGATTCACTCATTAGACACATAAAACAACTACCACGAACAATAAGAATATAGGGGCCGGCACTGTGGTGTAGCTAGCTAAGCTGCAGCTTGCAACGCCACCATCCCACATGAGCACTGGTTCCAGTCCTGGCTGCTCCAATTCTGACCCAGCTTCCTGTGCTAACGTGCTAAGCAGCAGAAGATAGCCCAGGTGTTAGGATCCCTATACACCCACACTGGACACTGACATGTATGTCCTGGCTCCTGGCTCAGCCCCAGCCTGGTGGCCGTTTACAAAGTGAACCAGCAGATGAAAGATTGGTTTCTCTTTCTTACAGTCCCTCTGCAGCTGCCTTTTCTTTCTCCATAGCTCTATCTTTCAAATAAACAAATAAAATCTTAAAAAAAAGAAAAGAAAAGAAAAGGAACATTTGCTGGGGGGAGGAGGAGGTTTATTCCAACGCTTTACATAAATGGTCAATCAGCTAATGAGCCAATCATCTAAAGGCAAAACTGACACATAGTCACTTCTACCAAAAAACCCAACAGTCCTCAAAGATTATTAACGAGAGCAAGAGAGGGCCTTGTACAAAGCTTCGGCCACACATAAATCATAGCCAACCATGAAGCTAAGAAGTGAACTCTTTTAACTCCACCCCACAGAAGACTTTGCTTACAGGTGAATTATCCACACAGGGTGTTTATTTGTGGAGTGCGGATCCTGCTCTCCTTCCTGCCTCCCTCCCTCCCATCCCATCCCCTGCCATCAGGACCTGTCTGAAGACAATGACCTTGCAGGGGGAAGGGCTGACTTACCCTGTCCCAGCTGAACCAGAGCCCCAGTTCATCAAGCTGCTTCCTCATGTGCTTAATGTTACTGTGAAACAAAGGAAACAAAGTTTGGTCTTCAGGGAGGGTTAAAGCCATAAACAAATGACATTTTGTGAAGTCTGTGAAACTGAAGAAGTGTAGATGACAAAATACAATCTGCAAGAATCCATGGATATGGGTCAAGCTACAGTAAAGCTGGCAAGAAAAAAACTAGAGAAACTTAACAACCTTCTCTCTTTTTGACACCCTAATGCAAATATTCCAAGGAAGAATAACTTAGTCAATGACAAAGCATCAGAATGAGCATCAAAAACCCTCTCTGATATTTCTTTGACAACAATACAGTACGGGGCCTGCCATGATAGTCTAGTGGCTAAATTCTTGCCACAGGATCCCACATGGGCACCAATTCATATTCTGACTGCTTCCCTTCCCATCCAACTCCCTGCTTGTGGCCGGGAAAGCAGTTGAGGATGGCTCAAAGCCTTGGGACCCTGCACCCAAATGGGATACCTGGAAGAAGCTTCTGGCTCATGGCTTTGAACTGGCTCAGCTCCTGCCATTGCGGCCACTTGGAGGGTGAACCAGTGGACAGAAGATCTTCTCTGTCTCTCTTTCTCTCTGTGAATCTGCCTTTCCAGTAAATAAATAAATAAATCTTAAAAACAAACAAAAAGTAATACAGTATGTTGGGGCTGGCATGATGGCTCAGCAAGCTAATCCTCAGCCTGCAAATCCTGGGATTCCATAAGGGTACCAATTTATGTCCCGGCTGCTCCACTTCCCATCCAGCTTTCTGCTTATAGAACAGGAAAGCAGTGGAGGATGGCCCAAAGCCTTAGGACCCTGCACACACATGGGAAACACAGAAGAAACTCCTGGCTCTTGATCAGCTCAGCTCCAGCCATCACAGCCACTTGAGGAGTGAATCAGTCTCAGGTGAAGATTTTTCTGTCTGTCTTTCTCTCTGTAAATCTACTTTTCCAATAACAATAAACAAAAAATACAGTATGTCAAGTGGCATACTATATGCTGGCATGGTGGCATAACATGCTAATCCTCTGTCTATGGTACCAGCACCTCATATGAGTGTTGGTCTGAGTCCTAGCTGTTCCACTTCTGATCCAGTTTTCTGCTGCTAGCCTAGAAAAGCAGCAGAGAATGGCTCAAATCCTTAGGACCCTGCACTCATGTGGGAGACCCAGAGGAAGCTCTTGGCTTTTACTTTTGGATCAGCCCGGCTCTGACCATTCTAACCATTTGGGGAGTGATTCAGTGGATGGGAGATCTATCTATGGCTCTCCAACTCTGTGTAACTTTTCAAGTAAAAATGATATATATATATATCATATATATATATTTAGTGTGTGTGTAAAAGAAAAACACACTATGCAAATATTTTTAAAAATGAATGGAATAAGGAATGAATGCCTTAATTTTCTTTAATATATATTTCCAGGTATATATTTTGTTCCAGGTATATATTTTGTTCTGCTTTCTATTTCTCATATGCAAGTTACTTTTTTTTTTTTTTTTTTGCTTTTTGTCCTGGTTTTTGCATTCAAGTAGTTGAATCTGCCTGCAAATGTGTACCTCTGCGTCCAGCTTCCTGGATGTAGATTTCTCTCGATCGCAGCATTCTCTGCCGGCAACCCGAATGCATCCCAGCCCATGGGATTGATGACCTGGGTGGAAAGAGAAGTGTTAGCCACGGCAAAGACCCGAAGCCCATACCATATTCCCCTGTGGGCCCCAAAGGGTATTCTCTCATCATCTTCCTTTTGGATAATTTCAAACTACACATTCAAGAGCCAGCCAAGATATAAGCAGGGTCCTGAGGGGCTTCCAAAATGTCCACTTGGTGTCAGAAGTCCCCAGCGAAGGAGCTGCTTGCTAAGGCCTCCCAAGGAAGCCCCTAGATATGCATGGTGATAACCAGCTAAACTTAACCAACATTCACTGGCCCATTCAGTTCATCAGCCTCAAGCACCACCTTTCAAAAGTGCTGATATGTGTGTGTGTGTGTGTGTGTGTGTGTGTGTGTGTGTGTGGTGGGAGGGCTACGTGCATGGATTCTCAGCACTACACTAAGTCCTACCGCACAGCGCTGCCCTAGACATGCACAGGTGACTTGACAGTCCCAGCTCTCTCTGGGTCGGCTCTCTGCCTCACGACCTGAATGCCTGAGTTCAGCATTACTCAGCATCCTACATGAGCTTGTCCCAGACTCCGCAGTTCTGCTCTTCTTCTCCCTCTCTATTCCTTCTACAAAAGCCATGCGCCTTGAGAGCCTTCTCTCTACTCCTCCCAGAAAGCCCCCTTCCCTCTGCTAGAAGGAAGAGGACACCAAGACAGGGAGAAACCAACATGGAAATATATTCAAGAATATTTGAAACCAGACAAAAGTTCACCTTGGGACCAAGCCCTAGGCAGTATTTATACTAATTTCTGGGACTTCCTACACATATTTTTACAAGTATTCATTAATATTATTGTTAATCATGGCATTTTCCTGTAAGATATACTTCTTCTCTGAAGAACAGAAACTCTCAAAATCTTAAAGCTTAAGGAGACTTCTGAGATCTGTCCTCCACCCACCCCCTGGTACAAGCAGTTGTAGTTCAGCAGGAGTAAGAAGCAATAAGTACTGCCCTTGCGAAGGCCAGGCAGTAAGGTTTTCTTTCTTCAAATGGACGACCAGTTGCAGCTGAGTGGGCAGTTTCGCAAGCAGGTTCTCTCACCCCAACTTAGAGCCAGGAAAATGAACAAAGACTTGGCCATGGCCAAGAGGAGAGCCTCGGAAGGCCTAGTTTCTAGCTCTGGGAACTTAGTCCCTGGCCTTCTCTGAAACTGACTTGAATCACAAAGTGACAGGCTCTGCTTTCCAATTGGGTTTCTAAAGTCTCTCATGAGTGACGATCGAACCAGGAGACTCAAGAATTCTAGAAGGCAGCCCAATGTGGCTAGACATCTTCCTATCAAGCTGCTGGTGCGTCAGCTTCATGGGCTGCACACCCTTTGGCTCCTGTTCCTTTGTTTTGAATTTTGATGTAGATACGCAGGAAGGGGAGTGGGGAGGAAGGCAGAAAAAGGAGAGAAAGCTAGTTCCCATCCATTGGTTCACTTTCCAAATGCCCTCGATAGCCGGGAGCCAGGAATACAAATTGGTCTCCTGCATGGGTGGCAGGAACTCAGTCACTTGAGCCATGGCCTGCCGCCTGCCAATGTCTGCAGTAGAAGGAAGCCAGAGTCAGGAGCAGAGCTGAGCGACTGTCCCATGCGCTGTGCGATGGTACACAGGAGTCCCAACCACACCAGCACCTGGTCCTCCTCTGGCTTCTCAGTCATGCAGTTCATGTTCATGCACACATCTCTGAAATAACGATGGATGCTCAGAGGCAGTTGCTGGCGTCTGAGCCACATGTTTCGCAATGGGACATCTTAGACGAATGAGGTGGGTCCTGGTGGACATCTGGCATAGTGGTTAAGGCAACTTCTTGGGAGGGCCTGATCCTCGTCCAACTCCAGCTTTCTGCTGAATGTCTACCCTGTGTGGGGCCAGATGACGACTCAAGCATGTGCCAGGCACGTGGGAGAGCTGGATTGATTTCGCTGCTCCTGGCTACAGCCTAGCTCAGTCCCAGGCACTGTAGGTATTTGGGAAGTCAATCAGTAGCTCTTTTTTTCTCTCTCTCTAAAATAATAGTTTCAAAAAAGAGAGCAGTCTTGCTTTTTCTCATAAATGACCATTTCTCCAAGTATCAAATACATATTTATTGAAGATAATCCGGGGAATACAGAAAAATCTTTAGAGGAAAATAAGATTCATCCATAATTTTATCACACATTCATACATAGTTAAATGTGGCATTTCTATCCAATTTTTAAGAATTGAGATCATACTATTTGTGTATATATATTTTTCAATCTCTTTTTCACTCTACATTGTATCAATGCATCTTATTAGTGAGTAGAATGGTCTCTTATATTTAACTTTTCCTAAAAGTTGTTTCCATTTTTCACTAGCACACACACAGACACACACAAAGCTGTGAATTTACATTTCTAGGTGCAATTTTTTGTGCATACATCTAACATTTCCTTGGGGAAATTTTCTAGAAGCAGAACTGTTATTTTAAAAGCATATGAAAACCTTTAAGAATTTTGACAGATACAACCAAATGGCACCTCTAGAACAGCTTAGCAAATCACACGTCCACCTTCATGCCCAGGGCAGGCCCTGTCTCTCCACAGGGTCCCGTGAGTCCTCCCACTGGCCTCTCACTAGCCACTTCCAAGGCAAAATGTCCCCAACTATACTCCTCTTGCAATCCCAGTCACCAGCCGAATTCTCATCCATGGCCCTGATGTAGCAGTAACTGCAGGGTAAATAGGCATACCCCTCCCAGTGCCTGGAACCTCCTGCTATAGAGCTGTACTTCCGTTATGTATGATTCCTACTGGGCTTTTATCATCTGGTAGAATGTTTCCATGGAAAGAACTAAGGGCATCCATCTGGCGTCAGAGCTGCTCTAACTCTTCCGGTCAGTGAACAAGAAATGCCAATCAGGCATTGCTCTCCAGGAACCTGCGTGGCTTACAGGCAAAGGTCTTCTCACTAGCCACTAGCTTCTCACAAGATCACACACTGCAAAACTGCTGTTTTGGATCCCAGCAGTGGGATCCAAGGCACATCCACTTATTCCAAGTTTCAACAACAAAGCAGTGATCTTGAATTGTGAAGGACTCTACACCAAGACATATGGATGCACCCAGCCCAGCCCCAGCACCTAGTGATGACAGCACTTGGAACTATCATTGCAGTACTGCAGGGTTAAGCTGTCATCTGGCACTGGTTTTAGTCCAGGTGGTTGCTCTAATTCCAGCTCCCCACTAGTTCTTCTAGAAAGGCAGCTGAAGATGTACCAAGTGCGTGGGTGACTGCCACCCATACAGGCGACCCAGACAGAGTTTCAGGGCCCTGATTTTGGCCTGGCACAGGCCTGGGCAGATCTGGCTGTTGTGACCATCTAGGGAACAGACTAGCAGCCAGAAAATCAATCTCCCAGCCTTTCTCTTTCTATAGCTGCCTTCCCCCCCTCCAAAAAAATGGGATAACCTGCTGCTGTGGTAGCCATCTTCTATGCCCCCAGCCTGCAGCCTCTCACAAGATCACACATTGCCAGTTCCCTTGCCAGGGAGAATTTCAGCCCTGTCCCTCGTCAAGCTCATTATCTGCACAGATCCTCCTCCAGGCTTGTTCTTAAGGAGGGTTACTTAGGACAAGGCTCTGTGGAAGGCCACATCAGCCACTGCAAGTCCCTTAGAAATAGAGGATGCAGCTGGAAAGGAGAGAAAGGTGCCCAGCAGCTGTCCTTGGCTGCCTAAGTGGTGGCTCACAGGAGGTGCTCTGACGGAAAGCAGCCCAGCACCTCCTGCCACAGCCGGCTGCACCAGGGCCACTCCCTTAGCACAAAGCAGCCTGGGCAAGGACATCTCCCGCCTGCAGACATGCCATGCTGGAGCTGGGTGGTGGATCTCACACCATCGGGTGATAACCCGGGTGCTGAGTCTCTAGCTTCCCACGCCTCTGATTCTGCATTTCTAGGGCTTAGGAAGTGGGGAAGTCAAGAAAGCCCTGCAGAGCTGATCAGAGACCCTTACAGTTTCTACCCCCGTCCTCCTCTGAGCTCACACTAGAGAGATCCCTTTATTTTCTTCTCTGATGTTTTCCAAACTACAAAGTACAGTGCAAGTTTATCTGCAGAAGGAGGAATTGTGGCAAGGCCTGGCCCCGGCCACTGCTCCGCTCCTTGATGCAGCTGTTCCTTTGTGTCCCTGCACCTTCTTCTCACTGCAACCTACTTATATGAGCACAATGACATATGCAGGAGAGCTTGCTTTCTTTCCTGGCAGCAGCGCCTACTGTACACATTAATTTATGGCTAACTTCCCTCCTTTAGCATTCTAGTGCATTTGTGTCTATGTGTGCATGTGTGTGTGCCCTTAAAACCTTTAGTTCTCTGAGTAGCTCTATTCTGGGCAGTCTTAGGAGCCAGATCAGACAGATCCCACCCCGGCTGGGACCTGTGGTCCCTGCTCCTTTTGCCAATGTGTCAGACGCAAAGTGTTATTATTATCCTCCCCAACAGCTTCTGCCCACCATGTGAGCACCCTGCAGGAGGTCCTGGTGAGGGACTGAGACACAGACCAACCCCCAGCCAGGACAGCAGGTGCCTGGACTCATCACCAGGCAGCTCCAAGGTGTCAAAATGTGAGGGGACACTCCCTTCCCTCTGCCTCTCACCTTACAAAGAAAGATGACCTGGGGAGGGAGGATGGGGACACGGCCATGTTGGCAAAAACCCAATCCCCAGTGGGTTTGGCACTTCCAACACTGTCCTGGATTCTGTGATCCATGGACACAAACAAAACCTCCCTCTGGCTGAAGCCCCTCTGGGCTGGGTTTTCAGACCCTGAGCGTCAAGAACCCTGACTGGAACAAACAACCTTATGGAGACGACTCCCTCATGACCAACGCTCGATCCACGCACACACGATGCCCTCTGTACTCAATACGGCGTGTCGTGGTCCTTTCTTTCATTTCCAAATGCTGAGAATCTGTGCCGGATTCCGAGGAAGTTCAGCAGTGCCTGCTTGGGCAACACCTGAGTGCAGCCTCCCT